TCAGCAGGAGCTTGTACTGGAGATGTCCTGAGGTCCCTCCTCCCTGAATGATTGACTCTGTGCTAACACTCCCTTCTCTGCATACCCAGGCTAGGCCTGAAATGGATGGGTTGTGTCTGTCATACTTTGTTGACACCCAATTTTTGGGTGCCAGAGCTACTCTGAGCTGATGAGGTGTAGGCAAAGCAAGCTGTTCCAATGCTTTCTCCTACTCTCACCTATCCAAACGTCACAACAGAAGTCTCAGGCTCCTGGATCTTGCCAGACAGTCCCGTCAGGACATATGAATACAAAGAAGGGTAACAGTTCAGGGTGATCTCTCCAGAACTGTTTTGGCTTATTTGATAACCAGAGATAGGCACTTGCATCTGCATGGAGTTGTGTGGAATCACAGGTTCAGTGGCCACCTACTGTCTCATAGCTCTAAAAATATTTGCTGCCATTCCAACCTTTAAAGCTTTTAATTCTGTAAAACTCTATCAGTGCTGTTCTCCAGGTATTATCAAGCTTCCCACTGTTTGCTTTTCTCCTCACATTGCTGCTGAGAAATGAGAAAATATAGGTATAGTCCCAGGTCATGCTAGCTAGATCTTCATTGCCCTCTCAGTGGCCAAAGGTTCCCTTTAGAGCCAGAGGATACGTATGAATTGTGCTTGACATCCTTTAGAAAACTTGGTCACACTGAGCAAAATCTGTCACTGCTCACAGCTGTACTGCATGTAATAAAAATACATTGCCTCATTACAGCTGCAGGTCAAGAAGTTTTAGGTCAGTCTCCTTCTGCAAACCATGCCCTCAGACACAACATAATCCCAGACATGTATCATTCCAGTACAAATAATCCATACAGAAAATATCTTCTCTAGAACAGAAAGATGAAGCATCCAAATGCCTACTCCCACAACATGGAAATGAAGTTTAGTAACTACATTAAAAACCAGTTGAAACCAGTTCAACACATCAATAATACATTTTTTATTTAGTACTAATGCTTTGTTTGTACTGATAACATCAAGAAGCATAACCACTTCAAACAGGTGAGGTTTCTTGGAGCTTTCCACTCTTGAAAGCAGTCTATATCTCAACAGCATGGCTCAGTACAAAGCCAAAAAATTACTGTACTGTAATTTACAGACAACCCCTCTGCACGCTCAATACTCAGTTGTGCTTAGGTAAGCCTGTTTGTATTAGCAGTGCAAGGGATTTGCAAAGCTACAGCTGGAAGTAGCACCCCATTGCAAAAACCACCTAAGTTTGCCACAATAGCATTTCATCTAGGCCAGGGCAATCAAGTTGCTGTGTGTTCTGCAGTGTGGTTCTAGAAATATCTATCATAGTACTTCACAATTGATATGACTGTTTACCTCACAGGGCTGGAGATTTCATGGGTCAATGCAGAAAGGTGATCTAGCCAAGGTAACAGGTGACTTGGATTTTCAAAAAGTTCATGCTAATGTCTCATAGAAGCCAAAGTAAACAGCCATGAAATAAAGGAAATTATCGTTTAATCAATCAGTTACTGGCTACAGTAATAAAAAGTGTGAGGTTACCAGTGTGTGCCCCAGAAGGATTCATGCTTGGACTTGTAGATTTGAATATTTATCCACAAAAAGGGTGAGCAGAAAGGTGGCAGCTTATTGATATTAAATCACTTATGATCACAGAAGGAGAAAACATCTGCAAAAGGATCTTGTACAGTACTGACTGACCAGATAAACCAATAAGGAAATTTCAAAGTCAAATGCAAAATAAAAATACAGTCTGAACCTCTCTAATGGGGTCAGAACTAGCTACGACCAAGAACGAACATTACTGGTTCTCCTTCTGGAACTGATCACAGGTTCTCTTTTCTCACCTACTTCATTTAGATCTGTATGAACAATAGTGTGGTGTTCAGTTGTTGCCAAAGCAGTGAGCTGAATTTTCAAGGTTATGAGGAAAGAATGAGATTTTTCTTATTTCACAGGACCAAAGACACAGATCATTGACAGCCAAAAATAATACGGCTGAAGTATGTATGTTGTCCTGTTCCTATGCTCTTCCCACGGCACCCGCTACATACCACAGACCGTGTCTGACCTACTATAGTCATTCTTGGAGAAGAGGTTACACCTTCCAAAATGTGGACAGGTGCTCAGTAAAACTTTCAGATGTACATGGGTACTCTCCCCTGAATGGAAGGTTCAGGAAGCACCTAAAATATTTTTTAAGTTTTGTGCAAAAGGATTAATATATCACACAGGAATCTGAATTTCTAACAGGAGAAAACAAGTAAAGCAGGCTGACAATGATACACACTGAGCATTAACAGGTAAACTGCCAGGTGTCAAACACTGAAGGTATTGTCTACTGCAGTAATTACCACACAGCCCATCTTTGGTTCTGAAATTGCTGTTTTAGTTCAAGCAAAATGAGGAAATAAAAGTATTCTAATAAAAGTGGGATTATCTTCTATTCTCTCATTTCAGGAACAGAATCTGCAGCTCTTCAAATTGACCACTAGGTATGTGCTTTCAGCCACAATTAGCAAGCTCCCTGTTGGTGTGAGCTGAATGAACATCTTTCTGCCAAACTAGAAAGGCTGGAGAGAGATTAAGAAAATTATTATGTAACCTTAAAGTTATTTTTAAAAACACATGCAACTCCAGGAGAACAGGAAGTAACGCTGCTGGACATCTGACCTTCAGTACACCAGTCTCTGTTCTCTCCTTTTTCTTCTTTGCTGTACAATAGTATACAGCTGACACAAGCGTCATTTGAAAAATCACCCAAATCATGTCAGATTAGTACAAAACCATCTCATTTATTGTCTACACTGATTTCCCACTAGACGCCTCAGTATTTCTATTTATCTCCAATCATGAAGTCTGCCTTAATTTTTGCTTTGCAAGTGTTACAAAGAGAGACATCACTGGAAGAAAGAAGACATTAGAAAATAGAAAAATCAGCTCAGCTGTGGTGGGAACAGTTTTAGTACATCAGACCAACTTCACAGACAACTCAACAAGAGATAGTAGCAACGGACTGGTTTATTACACTGAGGGTATAGCTTTGCGCTTGCATCTTGTATGTGTATAGCAAATATACATATTTTTATATTATAGCTTACAATTAAATTAAGAGGCAGTTTGGGAAAATTGAGTTCAAAATTTTTGTCAGGCGCTCAGCCTCAGAAGCAACAAATCAAGAGGAATTTTAATATTACTTTGGACTGTGCATCAGGAACTGCACCTTCTCTAATAAAATAGCCTGTTATTTTCCTGAAAAGACTATCTTGCTGTTCTAACTAGATGAATTCATCACTTATCAATTACTGGAAACAAATACCAATATTACACTACATAAAGACGAAGCACTTAAGTTGTTAAGTGATCACTGCAAAAACCCAGATTAAAAATCCAACAGCTTTTATGGAACAAGGCACTATGTTTGCATAGTATTTCTAGGATGCTTTGAAAATGGCAAGTATTTTCATGCAGTAAAGTTGAAACATGCAGTGCTCAGGTGGCTCAATCAGTACAAGCAAATATACACTAGTAAATTTTGAAACATACTAGTTCCCTTCAGAATTTGAAAGGAAGCAGACAGGATAGGGAGCAATTACATTCTGAGCATCCTATTCTCCTTTTATACCTTGTAAATTTAATCCTGTGAAAGCATAGCTGCTTAAACTCAGAACAAACCTAGAAGGAAAATTTCTCCACTGTTGCTCAACAGCCTTCATTACTTACTCACCTCAAGTAAGTGTAGCAAGGCTTTTGATGCCGCCTGCCCATAGTATCCTTACAGCCAAACTGGTGACTAAATAGACTGGATAGAAAATTGTCTGGACTGTCAGGCTCAAAGGGTTGTGTTTGGGCTTACAAAACCCAACCGACATTGAGGGATGGGTACTAGGGCCAATATTACTTAATGCCTTTATAGCCTGGATGATGGGACAGAACACGCTCTCAACAAGCCTGCAGATGATACTAATTGGAGAGATTATACAGGGCCATTGCTCAGAGGGAGCTCAACCCTTGAGAAACAGGCTGGCATGAACCTCACGAAGACCAAAGGCAAATGCAACCTCTTGTACCTGCACAGAGTAACTCCACCTCAACAGCACAGGCTGGATGCTGACAGGATAAAAAGAAGCTCTGCAGAAAAAGACTTGGGGATCCCAGTGAGCAACATGAATCAGCAGCAGGTCCTTGTAGCAGAAGGCAGCCCACCAGGCTGTATTAGCAAGAGTGTGGCCAGCAGGCTAAAGCTACCTAATGGAGAAGCATAGAGAAGGTGGTGCCAGACTCTTAAAGGGCACACAAGCGAAATGCAAGTGCAAACATGATTCCGACACATACAAGGACAAGAATTCCTCTTGGTGAAAGAGATGAGCCACTAAAACAGGGTGGTCAGAGAGGTGGTAGACTCTTCATCCTTGGAGGTGTTCAAGACTCAGCTGGACAAGTCCTGAACAACCTTCTCTAACTGGACCTGCTTTAAGGTTCCCTGACTGGGCTGGGTAGCCTCCAGAAGTCCCTTGCATTCTCATTCTAAATTTGGCTATGATGAGTGTATTCAAAATCTATATACTAGAGAATGAGATAAGATCCATGTTCTTAAAGCAAAATTTGTTAAGGGCAGCATGTCAGTAATGTCATACTCCTCTTTATGGCTCTTTTAGACTACGGATTTTGGCACTCTGAATTGCAGTGTAATGCACAGATTATTTGCTTCATAAAACTATTTTCACATACATTGAAATAGTAAGAGGTGCATTCTGTGTATATAAGAGATTAACAGATTTTATTGTTTTCTAAAATATTTTACAATACAGAGACCCAAACCAGTAATTCCTGACAATTTTAGTAACCATCTTGTGGATGAACAATTATGTTGATAAGTTTTCCTTGACAGACACATACATACATCCACTTTCAAGCTTGCACATTTTGATTCATTGAAAATGATGACTAAATATATCTATAAGCTCAAAAAGCAAACAATAAAGTCCAAGACTACCAACGGTGTTCTATAGTTACCTCAAAATAGATTTGTTAGCTTCATTACAGTGTAGCTTCCTAACATAGCACATCTACTTACCTGATACTTAGGGTTTGTTTGTTTTTATTTTTTTAACACAAGTCTGATTTTACAACCCAGTTTTAAATGTCACAAATGCATACTATTTGACAGGATTACAGATGACCGAGTTGTAACTGCAAACGAATGTAGATTTTACAGTGTTCTGCTACAATAATCCGTGTAAGGACTAAAGCTAGTTTGTATTTTGACCCACAAATTTTATCCACAAATACCGATTTTGAGTATGTTAGTGTATTTACTGTACTGCTGAAAAAATCTAATCACAGAATACTTTGTCTATGGTACAGTAATGAATATGGCAGGAAAGCAGATTTAAATATACCTATAATTTAAGCTCTTAAAACAGTCTAAATCTTATTGACATCAAAAGGCTTAATAACGAATAGCCATGCTCTTTATATTTTGGAATATCAAATTATATGTACATATACACAACATAGATAGGCTCTTAATAAAAAGCATTTAGTCTATTTTACAGTCTTCTCTGTTCAAAAAATTAGTCTTCACAGATTTAACATTTCAGATCACCCCAAAATCATTAGCAGTTTAAAGGAGATTTTTTTTTTCCCCTGCAAACATGTGTTGGAAATAGCTACTTTTCCGGGGCTTATACATAATTTATCTTTCTTTTGAGTGCCATTTAAGATCTAGATGGAAAACTCTGTTAGTTTAAGTGTCAAACCACATAAACAACATTCATAATAGAATCGCAACCCATGACACCTGCAGATATCTCTGCTACAAATAACCTTCTGTAACAGATATTTATTAAATACAGTATTTGTTTTACAACTTCAAGCCATGCTGACAACATAGAAAGATTACTACAACATGGAAAGAGTTTTCATTCAGTCAACTGGTGACTAAATCTATGTCATAATTTAAGTATTAATTGATAAATCCAAGCATACAAAAAGGTGCTTAGCTACATAGCATTTAAATAAAAAAAATACTGCATCTTTCAGACATTGCTAAGAACAAATAGACAATTAACTATAATAATCTTTAAAATTCAAGTTGCAAATTACTGAAGGTCACTTAAAATAACTGATTAAACAGAAGTGAGCGTAAGCCACATACCTAGGGCAGGATGAGGCACAAGCACAGAAAATGCAAAAATGTTTAGGAGTCACAATAGTAGACCATGTGGGAAGAAAAAGCTTAAAAAGTATTTTTCCTATCATACTTTTTTTTTTTTCAACCTAAGCCCTTTCCTTTGCATTGTGCACAAGTTGTGAAAACAATGTCAAATTATTAGTTCAAACTTTTGTCTTTAAATCACCATGATTTCAGTATCAAGCCCTTGCCTTTTCATTAAAATATGTACACTCTATACATCATTCAGCTTCCCCTCACTTTAAATATATACTGTACAGGCTTACAGAGCTTTTTAACACTTCTGTATTAACTTTGTCCTTTGTCACTGGATTGGTTCTACATAGTTTGCTGGGTATAAACCAACTTGTCCATTGTCCAGACGTCCTTTGCACCAACCCTGCTCATCTTCATTCTCCATTTTAGTTAGCTCATCCCCTGCAAAAAGAAGGGAACATTGTTAACAAGCCATAACCTTTTAAGTAACAACAGAAAGATAATATGAGTTACCTACACGTCCGTTTTCCTTCCCCTGCCCACCCCAGGCCCCAACAGAAAGCCTCCCTTCTTTGCTCTTCATGCTTTTGATACTAAGAATGCCACTCAGAGATTTACATATGGGATGAAAGGCCCCCAGTTTCAGGAAAATAGGAAGCAGCAAGCTACTTTGAAACTAAAACATTACATCGATGGCATTTCAAAAAGGTCATAGCATTTTTTCAAAGCACAATAAAGAATGCAACCTTTTGAAGTTATATACAGTGTTATTTCACTATAAGATCAAAGACTCCCTTAGATCTAAAGGTTGTGAACAGAAGTATATTTGTGGATAGTACAACTACCTCTAAAAACAAGCAGAATAATCCTACATTTTTGGCCCTCCACAAAATGTCAGTGCAAGTGAAGAAATGTTTCATTAGGCTTAATGTCAATATATACTCTTCTAAGAGTTTATGGAACATAAGGAGGAAAATGCTACAAACATTAAGACGTGGCAGTAAAATTCCCTTGAATTATACTTGCAGCTTTTCAGTATACCACTACTGAGTTGCAATGCAGAAAGATTTAAAAGAATCTTACACCCTACACTTTGTTACATTTCTCTTTCTCCCCCTCTTCCCTCATCTTTTTAAGAAATACAAGGATTGGGATTTAACTTTCCCTTTTAGTGCTCTAGCTTTATACTGCTGGAAGCTGATGTTGTAGCTCCATAAAAAATAACTAAGAATTTGCTTGCTCACACAGCAAAAGCTGACACTGATTATCCATTCAGACTTTAATGAATGATCACATAACCTTCATTTATGAACTACAACATATAACCTCATTTTGACTATCATTCACATCTAATCTTCCACATCCTCAGGAAATACTTTAGCATTTGAGCATCTGCACACTCCAAGATGCTGTATATGAGCAAATGAATGCTCACTTCAGCCAGGCAAAAAAGGCCAGACCAAGTAACAACTATTTCCTCATGTACAACTTATTTGTATCACATTATTTCCCTTGATAAAACTGATTTGTGTTTCATCTTAGTAAGCAATGGGAAATAAATGCTGAAGAAATGAACCACTTACTACAGTCCCAAATGGCTATAATTATACAGTCTTGGTATCATTTAGGAGAACAAAAACTAGCCTAGGGACTATCAATTCTTTGATAGAAATGGACAAGCTTCATATCAAATCTTCTCAGATATGTATCTTCTATAGCTCCTCTCTTAGCTAAGAAAAGGTTAAAGCCTCATCTCCTCTAGTTTGTAAGTTTACCAGATAACTAATAAAATAACATTATGAACAAATATTTGGCACTATGGAACGTATTTGGTTTATGGGGACATTTTACAATTTTTCCCTACCATTTCTAGCACTGCAGAATGAGAGTGTACAATTTGAAGCCTTCCTGCCACTTCTGTGAAGTGTATTCTAATAAAGAGTGAGAACAACAACTATCAAAGCCACACTGCATTAACAGCAAGCCCCAATGCAGCTGCACTTGTATTAACAGCTAGGGCTTGGAAACTCGGTGATCTTGCAGGTCTATGAAAATGTTGCCACTTTTAAGTGTCATCTGCACAACAGTTACAATGAAAACAGTCTTCACCTACTGCGATAAAGACAGCATGTACAATACCACATTTGACAACACTCCATGGTCTACATTTACTGTAGATATTTATTCTGAGCCATGGCAGAGACACAGTAGGGTGAGCTAGACATATATGGTAGATGGTTGTGTCCCATCCTGTTACACGATTATAAAACCTCTCATAAGATATGAATAAACAAAGTTATTCTTCCTCTTTGGAAGCCTCCCACAGTTGTTTGCCAAGGGAAAAAAAGACAGATGTATAAAGTATTCCACTAATAAGAACGAGTTTAATGTATTAAAGTACATTTTATGGACCCATGCAGAGCATATATATACACTACAGCATGTACCTAGAAGTGATCACAAAAGCTTTGTAGGCAAATTCTTTGAATATCCAAGGAAATCCCATCTAAGAATAACTATGTTTAAACAGATCCCTAAAATGCATTAATCCTCTGCTGACAGCTGCTTAGGAGTCTAGGCATAGGCTACATAGGAGTAAAGGAGCGAGCACATTTTAAATTGGCTCCTGCGTGACCTGGTGAATATTCCTTAGTCTTTTGTATGCTCAGTGTAAACCTAGTCACACCAACACTTCTGCCTAAAACCTAAGTAAGTTTGACTGTAGCCATTCTATAATTCAGCTTCTGTAAGGGGATTCATAGTCTAGACAGTGATCCCTTTCCTGCAATTGATATAATCATGTAACTTGGTGATAAAACATACTTCAGTGCTCTTCCTTCAAAGGTATTAAGCCATTTTTAAGTTAAGCCTATCTTTATCTCTCACAGTTCATACTTCCTGTACTTCATTTCTACAGACCTCACACCGAGAGCCATTTGGTTTAAATAGTTTAATGCAAGTCACACAACTGCTACTAAAGTACAGAATGCATAACTTTGTATTTAACCATTACATCTGTGTGTATAAACATTGCATAGTTTTGCCACTGAAAGGCTGATTACTGTAAACCCTTGGAATGCTATCCTGTTGCTTGTCAGGCACAATACACATATTTCAAGAGGATTAGCACATTTCCATCCCCTGCTGAGAAAAAAGGAGTAGTTAAAGTCTACAGAATGAAGAATAATTTTAGCTGCTGTGCATTCCAGAGAGAGCTCCAGATGTTTTGTTACTACTGTCCTTCTGTCAGGGCACAATTCAGCAAAGTTAATGGACAAACCAACGCATTCCTTCTCTCTGAAAGACTACAATACTTGTCTACAAAGAAGAGTCAGATGTACAGAGTTTCACTACTGAAAAAGGAGGGAGGCAAGTGAAATGTGGGGACACCACCACCTGAGTTATGGGGCTTTTTGGTTTAAATGACACAAATTGCATTTAGAGTATGACCTGGAAATACACTGTTCTGAGCACCACCTTTCTCCATGAGCAGACTGGAAGTCTAGCAGTTCACTGATTAGCTACATCATTGACTTGTTGCCTGTATTAACTTTAAGCCATAACATCCATCTAAGATCCACTGTAGATGGTATAGAAGTAGCATAGTCCTTACAAACCCCAGCTGAAAGGGAAGTTAGAACCAAAAGTTTTCTCGAACTTTCTTTCCACACCAGAGTCCTGTTTTTCCCTCTACAGCTCAGTCATTACAGGAGAAAGGAGTAAACGATAAGCAAACAGAAAAAGAGAAAATATCAACGAGATTGCCTATCTAGTTTTCACAAACTGAAGTTCTGTTTGCTTTTGCTAAACTACTCATGCAATTTTGTTTTGGAGTTCCTGGTTGGTAAACTTTTCATGTGCCGAAATTCTGGGGAAGACAGTAGAACAACTGGCTGAAATTAGAGCTCGAAAGGCATGGACAGGGTGTAGATTTCACCTTTCATCACTAGAGGGTGCTGTCTCCACGCTGGCCAGATAATGAAGAAGTAGTCTACTTCGGGGGCTGAGTAAACTACCCAGGCACTTGCCCAGGACACACCAGCTGGTGGAACCAGCCCAGACAAAGTGGAGGCAGCAGCCATCCATGGCATGCAGTCATGTGTCAACTTTGTATGTGTGGAAACGTACTGTGGCATGGGTCTCTCCTGCTTGCTGTCTCTATTCTGTTATCTCAACTCCTAAAGCAGTGAGGTTAAAAAATGAACAGGGTTTTACGGCTGAAGGGAAATACAACATCCTAAGAAGGGAGATGTACAATAAGGGTACCCTCATATAATGCAAGATGAAAACACGTAAAGACAATTGCTGTGCTTAATATATACTGCAGGAGGGTGGAAAGAGAGAGGAAAAAAGTTCTCTGTCCATGGCTAAGTTTTCAACCTTAAAAGTTAGCACTGTAGGAAGCTGGAGGCCAAACCACAAACAAACAAACAAAAACACACCAGAAAAAATATCAGTTGATTAGATATTGTTTTCAAATTAGCTGCTGCAGTCTTTTCCTTTAATAAACCCAACTTTGTAGAGCTGGCATTTCTAGACAGCTAAAAGCAGCAGCTGTTACTGTCACCAGTGAAGAAAAGGAGAAGATAGGATCATCAGTTCTGCAGCTCATTTTGTTTAACACAAGATGGTAAGAAAGGAATATTCCAAACAAATGCATCCCAACACATTCCAAACAGACTAAAAGTCCGTGTTTCTGAACGGGGGATACTAAGAAGCACTATCAGGAGGGGAAGGGGTTAGATAGGAGTAAGTGGAATTCTACATTCAGAGAAACACGTGACTTCAGAAAACAAAAACTGAAGAGAAAAATTCCCTCCACTTTTGATAAATATTTTAAGTGAATGCTGTAAACTTACCAGCTTTAAAGCTGAGTTCATCTTGCTCTTGGCCCTCATAGTCATAGAGTGCACGTACTCTCACCTCCATTGCAGGAGAGGTATCTTCATCAAATGGATTGGTGTCTCCATTTGCATCAGTGGAAGAGAAGGGATTGTTGGACTCTTCATCAGACCAATCTGTAGGGTAGCTTTGGTTTTTTTCATAGCTGCTAACACTGAAAACAATTTTTAAATTATTCTTTTCTGCTCTTAAAACAGGAGACTAGAAATACCACTAAGATATCTGTTCCCCTACTTAAGCTTAAACTCCACTGTAACGCCCAGTTTCAAGACTATTTCTGGTACCTTCTCACCTATCTTTGGCTGACAATGCCTTGCTTAAAAAGAGCGTTCTTGCAATACATTTACAAAGCTAGAAAAAGGCAAAAGAAAAAAAGATATCAAAGAACCTCCCCACAAACTCCAAAAACTTCTCTATGAAGAAATCTATATAATCCATAGGATTATTTACTCTAGAAAGGTAAAAGGTATGCAGGTAATAGATGAGAGGAATTATCTGGTTTAGGATAAGACATTTAAATTGCTTTGCAGAACCTTCCTCCCAAATATCTATGCATGTCTACAATAGCTTTCAACACTTTTTGTATGTTGCAATCCACCAGTAAACTTCATTACTGCAACAACTTGATCATTTAAAGTTAAGTTCACTGTTGAGCATGCACATGCCATTCAAGAGAGTGGTATGACATCCCTAGTGCATACACTGAAGTAACAAGCAGCTGTCTGAGAAGGTCCTAAATAAAAAGAAAGCAGATTTATTCAGCGAGAACACACAGACCAGTAAAGCTCCAGAAACAGTTTCACTAGAAAAACCCATCAGTATTAACTTTTTATAGGACTGGTAAAGGAAGGAAAAAAGCAACAGCAGCTCTGTTAGCAACTGCCAATAACCCCAGTAGTTTCAAAAATGAAGATCAAGGCAACAGATACGGCATCTGTTGGAGAAGACAAGTTCAGTTACAGTGTTGCATACATAACCGCTTAAAAGGACTTCATGCACTGACTGGCATAGTGTTACAGAAACCAAAAATAGAAATCCCTGGATAGAGAAAATGCAAGTGTGAAAACAATTAAAAACAACATTTCACCAACTTTTTGATCTTATTGTCCTCCTTTTCACTGACAGTACTCCCAGTATCTTCTTCATCTTCAAAGGGATTGTAACTTGATTGTACTGACTGCACTGTGTTACTCTGGACACTAAGACTGCTAATTTGGAAAAGAAAGAGCATTATGGTGACCCTATCTGTTTAAGAGTAGAATATTCGTCATTGGTGTCCCACTAAGCAGTTTCTTAGCAGACCCCTTCTCCAGCCAAAAACCCCCGAACAAACAAAACCCCAAATATCTATCAAGTGTCACATAAGACCCAAGAAAGTTCGGAAAGTCTCACGATACATTCCTCCAGGATTAAAATATCCTTTGTGGACCATAATTTCTTTTTCTTACTGCCTACAATAGAAGGCATTGTGATTTTTCTAGCCAGTTTAATTCCTTTCTAAAACAGCTGATGTTAACAGTTTTGCATTAATTACATCCAGAATTCTGAAGAGACTAAACTTTTTGCAAGCTAAGATTTCAAAGTATAATTGTCATTTTTGGAGATGGGAAGGTAGCAACAGACTAACTAACAAGACTAGCTACAGAAAGTTCAGTTTCTCATGAAGTTTGGTTAATTCCCAACGGAAAGAGAACAGTAAAATGCAGAGTAATTCCTGAAATATTTTGTGAGCTACCAAAACGCATAATTAAAAATGCTCACAGATAATTAACATTTGGTTGGACAGTGACTTTGATCCCATAGAGCTTAGCGTACTTGAAGATAGCAATCCTTTCCAATTAGTCTTTTCAGGCATGAAAAAAAATACCTGCTATGTTTGTTAGGTTGTGAAACTTGATCTCCTGTCTGATTAATACCAGTCAGAGTCACTCCATCAGAAGCCTTCTTCTTTTCTCTTCTACTGAGAGTGCGATTCAGATCTGCAGACCACTCCTATCAATAAATGCAAAACATGATTAAGAAATTTAATTGAACAATTTTCAGACTGAGTTACGGAACATACATCTATACATACAACAGTACAAATAATTATTAAAAAGATAAGTTACTCCAAATGTTTCAGTTATAGTTCTCATCTAGTTCCTACCCAAGCAAATTGCTATCAGCTACTTGCAAAATCCCAAGGTTACCTGTACTTCCCTGCTTAGTATTCTAAACACCTTGAAAAGACTTAAAATACCAGACATCTGGCAGGCAACTGGAGAAATCAAAGGAGTAGGCCAGTGCAGCTCTTTAGAAGTTGTACTGAGAGGGCTCACTCCAAGCCATCTGGCTGGAAAAGGTAAACCCTACATTTAATTTAAAGAGGTATTATAATCTAATTCAAGAAAGGGCTTACTTCAAGAAGTGCTCCAAGAATGACCTACAAAGCAGCTGATTTTTAAACTCATTGCATATCACTTATCTTGTCCCTAAGATTTGAGCCCTTAAAGTACTTCACTCTAGCTGTAGTGAAATTTATTGTCCTTAAAAGCCATCCATAAGAATTAAGGCTCAAATCAACACAACAGTTGACAAGATTCATGATGTCATTTATAAAGTCTACCCTCCTTGATGTTTTGAATCATTCAAATGTTCCAGAAGGCAGGCAGACAGGCATGATGAGACCTAAACACAACATCTACCTATCAAGTCAAACTAAGCTGCAGACTGATACAAAGCAGGAACCAACAGAGAACAAGCTGGATACAAGCAAATGTCCTATGGTGAGATGTTTCATCTCAGAAGCCTTAAAGGTAAAAAAAAAAGTAAGGAGACAAATGCTATCTTTTATATATCAAACTAAGATAAGTATTTTTAACAGGAAATGAAGATTTTGTGAGTTGCTATCACTACTGGTTTATACATGTAGCACAGTCAGTCTTAAATGATTTCTGGCCAGCTTGTCAGAGATACCTCATTATTTTAACTTTGTAAAAATACATATTGGATTTCTGAGTTACCATAGCTTAAAGACCACTGACCTAAGCATATTTGCAGTTTATAATGCAATTTCGTATTCATTTGATCATGACTATTTTTTTTTTTTTTACTTACATCATCCTTGTAGCATGTAAATGAGAAAAAACTTGATTAGAAAAATAGTCACAGAAGTATTTAATCTGTTAATTATAATGCTCATGAAAAAGGATTTTCCTCAAAACAAAAATTTCCCCAAACAGAAGTAACTGTAGTTCAGTGTTTCGGGCAAAGAAATTCTCTAGTACTATTACGAGTTTTCTTCCTCAAACTTTCTAATCTAAAGTTACTCAATATTTTAAAAACAAATTATATCTTCCATTATGCTTAATAAGGGAACAGTGAACACCGTCCGGAGTTGATGCTTCCACTCCATTAATTTAACACCTAGAAATTATTTCAACTAAAACCATGATTCTGGTCAAACTCATCCCAGTTCCAGCTATTTGATACTCTGTAGTATGATCTGCACTGGCACATTTTGGTACTTGTTTCTTGTAGGCCATGTTAGCAGAACACTACTTAAAAAAATTCCTTTCTTTCGAAGATAGCATTCAACAATAAAATTACCAACTTGTTAAAGGTGGAACTTTTTTTAATATAACTGTATTGAAAAAACTAAAGACTTATAAATACCAATTTCCAGGACTGACTGAGGTATTTAGTTCAAGCTTTTAAAAGTCTTTGCTGCCTACGCTATAATCACCTGCTAACAGCAAGGAAATTCACATTGAAGTCTGACACCAAGGGAGAAAAGTAAAACATATAGGATAACACAATACAGGTGTCAGAGGTGCATCAACCAAACCATGGCTTACTAATGGCTTCAGTAATGACTTCAATAAAAAAAATAAAAACACTAGGCAGTTTTCTGCTTTACCCCTTTCCTCTTTAAATAGGTGTTTGATATAATCACCTCCAAAAGTAGGGGGATGAGGACAGCCCAATGGAAATCAAGAAAAGAAAACTACTATGACTTGTAAAAACAAAAAAACAAACAAAAAAAAAAATCACTGCTGGAAGCCTGAATTTAAGAGTTACACCAGAAAGGAATTTGACAAAAAGCAAAGAGGAAAAAATAGACAAAACAAGTCTGGGTTTTAATTACTCTGACCTTACCTCAAACTGAGGCCAATTCATTGACATCCCTGGACCTTGATTAGCTCTAAACCACCGCAAGTCTTCAACAGCATCTGCTGTTTTGATATTCTGTTCCAGTTCACGGTAGATATTTTTGTAACTGCAAAACAAGTTAGTCTTCAAATTTAGTATAACATTCAGAAACATGGCAAATCCACTAGTCAGATTTATAAAAAAAAAAAATTCAAAGTTCACAATAGTATTGAAAAAGCTCACAGCAAGACAGACTTTTAAAAACTGTATGACACACCTATTAACTGCCTGTAAAAGGAAGAGTAGTCCAACAAGTAAGCTTGCTGAAAGTTCACAAAAGCATAAAATCCTTATTTGCCAGATTTTAGAATTATGACTCTTGTGTAAAGTAACTTAATTGGCTGTCATTAAATGTAAGCTTTACATAGGAAAGTACTTAAATTACTAAATGCCACTCGAAGTTTCTTGAATTTGTCTACAAGAAAGTCAAAACTGTTTTTGTGATAAGTCCATAGCATTCTGTGAAAAATCCTGTCTTAATCAAATGAGAATTATAAGTCATTATAAAAATTAAGACCTCAAACCTGAATACGAATTAAAGGGGTTAAACATTTTACCTATGCAGGTATAATATCTGCTGCTTTTATTGTTTTAGGTACTCTGGTTTTACTAACTGTACTATTTATACAAAATATCAAATACTGTAAAAAAGAACTTTACTTTTACTTATCTGAGCCTAATTGTTTTTCGTTAAAGTCGAGTTCTCATAAAGTGCTTTACAGAATAGAATCCATGTTGCAGATACAACTAGACCATGCACATGATGTATTTGCTCTGCAGACTGTGACTACAATTGTTTTACACAAAAAAAACCCCAATATGGTGCAATATGGAACTCTGAGTATAAAGAGGTCTTAACACAACAGCCACAAGGCTTAAAATAAGAGACACAGGACTGCTAGTCTGTAATCAAGCAAGAGAGAATTTGGGAAAATCCTTCCAGACCAAGTCACACAAAATTTAGAATTAGAATTCATTAGTGCTACACTGTCAAGGAGTCAAACTTTCTCAAAATAGACTTCCAAATTTTTCGATTTCTATATATTATTGACTGCTTTAACATGTATGCAGTATGGGTTTTTTTCCTACATCAGTGGTTCGTTGAATGTATTTAAGCAATAGAAAGGCATATATTTTGAGAAAGGGAATAAATAATTTTGAATTATTCACTAGCCATCAGTTAAATCAACAACAAACTGGAGGTCTACATTGCAGAAAACAGGGCAGGGCTATTTTCTAGACTGTGCTCTTCAGCATTATTAGTCTTAAGAAAGTTAAAAATCAGACTTCCTTTTGGGGGTTTATTCTATACTTTTAATCTCTGTGTATTCAAACAGGCAGAGATAAGGAAATAGATAAACAATTACATTTGCTTTATCCTAGTAGTTCTTTTCTTTGTTTGCACCTTATTAACATACCATAAGACATCACTCCTAAATTTCCTAAATATCTTAACAGGAAATCATTCCCTCTCCACTTGGTCACCTTCTGTAGTCTTTACCCAAACTTGCCCTTTAAGTCAACTACTTCTCATTTATTTCTGCTCTGTAGTTTCTTTCAACTTGATTAAACTGAATTAAAATGGGCAGCAATCCTAACCACCTATCTACTCTGAGAGTAAAAAGAACCTGTCTTCCACAGCAGTTCCATAAGAACTTTGAAGCAACCCAAAATTACAGTGATGCTAAAATAAGTGATCTTGCCCTTACCTGTTGCTTGCTCTGTATTTGTTCTTGCCCCTATGTCACCCCCTTCACTTATGCCAGCATTAATATTTGTGTGACTGCATAGCAAATCAATTTGGAATACTGATCGGGGTTAAAACCAAACTAGATTCTTCCTGCCCTAGGTTACCTTGATGAACATCTTAATTCCACTTGTTGGACTACCATAAGAATTTTGTCACTAGCAGAAGAGGGAACAGAAATGAGCAGCCAGCCAGAAGCACACTTCTCTTTTTAACTGAGGTGCCAACCAGAGCACACATGCAACTCTGCTGTTACAAGTGGGATGTAAAATTCCACTAGTGTTACAGCATTTGCTGCAAGTATTCCAGTGTCCATCTTCTCAAATGCAAGAGAAAACACAAACATAACCACTCTCTTGCTGACATACCAAAGTAGTTTCATATCAAAATGGCCTGTATTAGCTGATGACATGCCGCACATGTCTGACGAAATAAGCTGCATGAGCTCTGGTTTGAGTTCCCTAGCAGAAGTTTAGATTTCTTGGAACATAGTGAAGAGGGTCCAGGCAGAACAAACGTAGTACAAGACACACTTTATACATAATACAGTATAAAGATCAGACTTCAAATTTAATATGGACAAGAGTTCAACAACGGTCAACCAATGGATCTTTAACATTTATCCCCTAGGTAATTCCTTTAGACTGAGCTCTAACATTTTAACAATAAATGTGTTTACACCACAAAGTTCATGCTGTCTTCACTAATAAATTCTAGTTTGTTCTCCAACAAACGTGCAAGACACATAATACACCAAAACCCGCCTTTCCCAATCTTTGATCCAGTATTTTTTGGTTCTAAACTCTGCATCCTTTCTAACTGGCACACATTTGATTATAAAAATACAACAAGAATGAGGGTTTTTTGGTTCGTTTAACACTATGTTAAATAAATCTAGCAAATGTTAGGGATAGATGCTAATCTGAATTTAGACAAAACAAAGAATTAAGCTCTTTCACTTACAGTTTAAACAAATTGAAGCAACATATTAGAAACAAATCAGATGCCGAACTCTGACCTCCTTGAAGTATGGGTTACTTTTCACTGAAAAGTATTAAGCATTAATTTTGAAGTCTTACACAGTTTTACCTTGCAACATTAGACAAGTCGAGGTGTTTCTGAACTTCCAGTAACACTTCTCGAAAGAAACGTAAGCGTTTTTCCTCAAACTGCTGACACTGTTCAAATACCTGCTCCATGTTTTCCATATATTGAGGAGTGGCATTATCTAATTCTTTCAGTGATTTTTCATACTTTTCTTTTGTCTGAGGGTAGAAAAACAAACTGTTAGCAATACAGTTTATTGCTAGCCTACATAACAGACTTAACAATGTAGTAATGACCGAGTTTTAGACCAGAAGTTCCCAAACTGCATTCTCTTTTCATGACCACTGTACCTATGTTAGGTCACGATGAGAGTTATTTAACAGAACTGCAGAACAGTTACAATAAAGTTCTACACCTCTTCTCTGGCTTTTTAACAGAAACCATGATGAATGTTAATGTAATACTAAAGATAAAAACCGAAGGAGCCACAGAGTAAATCAGAGCAGGCAGTCTTTAAAGTTACAGGTCTCTTGTTTAAAGATCTCCAGATAATTTTGAAGTATTGTCTTCTCTCCTTCAGTAGCTTACATAGTCCACTGCGAGTTACAACCAAAAAACCAAACACTGTATACATTGCCATGAACATAAATTGCATAAGCTGTGAGCTCAGTTAACAGATAGAACCTCAGACTCTATGCTAATTTACAGTAGTCCACAGGCAGGAATTAAAAGATCCCACCTGATATAACATCAGCCTTCCAGATCACAAAACAGCATTTTTAAAGGGAAAAGATGTCTTTGAAGAATGTCACATAAGAAAAGCCTCTGGGTAGCAGCCCGCCAAAGAGATAAACCAAACTGGGCAACAGAATGGCATTCCCAGAAGTATATCTACTTTTAAATGGACTGTATCAGCTTGCTTTCTTAAAAAAAATACATTCTGCACTCAAGAATGACTACAAGTTTAGATGTTATCAGCAAGTTTTAAGAGCCTATCTCACAGTGAAATCAAGTGAAATAACTCAACCCTCACTGCTAAATGAGTAGAACTCTGTCCTACAAGTTTGCTGTCTTATTCTGCTTTGTTCCCTGCTGAAAGCACTTACATGAAATAGAGGCAATACATTATTCATTCTTCAAAGAACTTGGCAATAACATATACTTTGGAGACAACTCTTAACTTTGGGATAGGACCATAACTGGAAGTGAGCTGCACTGCAGTCCACAGCACATTCAGGAAGGAAAAAAAGCTTAATATGCACAAGCTATACAATGTTAGCATACAGTATACCTTCAGTACATCTTGTTTGCTTCTCTCCACTTTGTCTTGTAATTTCTTAAGTTGTTCGGGATTTAGTGCTGGATCAGCTTTGCTGTTTGTTTCTCTGGATATAGCCAGTTTCTCCTCTTTGCAGGCCGCATGGTATGCTTTCTTTGCAGCTTCCACCTACAAAGTAGATTTGAATATTTGCATCTGGGACAGTTTATACAACCACCATCAACTGATTTTGTTAGCCTTATAATCATGTTGCAATGAAGAAAGTGTCAGATTTTGTTTCAGGATGGCTATTTTTTTGGAATATTTTTTCACTTAGGCCAAGGAATGAACAATGCACAACAATCAACATAAGGATATTATTGTAACACTTACGAATCAGCATTCTCTCACCATACAAGAAATGTCACTCATACAGCTTAGAGAAGTGTGGAACAGATTCAAGAAAACATTTACAGAAAGCCCCCAACAGAACATTTTTTTCCTCACGCCCACGTTCTCCTGCTCCCCTTCTTCTACAAACCTGTTATTTGAGAATAATGTTACATGACGGGGAGAAAACCCACAAACACTTTTCCCCTGCTCATTTCTTTGAGCAATTTGTAACTTTCAAATGCATGAAATCAGATACTGTTAAAATGATAGCTTAAATTCCACTTTTTCCAGATTTTCACTGAAGCCACCAAGATTAGGAGAGATCAAGAGAAAAATACTTATTTTCAGAAGAGGACAGAAAGCAAGAGATCTTTTTGAGAAAGGAGGGTCCAGCAGAGAGAATAGGGAGTTTACTCCCGTATAGAGATTTGAGACATTAATATATTGTAACACAGGATATCTAATACATAATCTACTGCTGTACCTCTTTCAGCTTTTTTGCCCAGGGTTTCTGAGCTTTCCTAAATCCATCTTCTGCTTCTTTGGTTTCCTTAAATCCTCCCATCATTTGTTTATGAAAGGCTTCCTTCTGCCAGTTCTTGATTTTTTCAAAGTCTTCATTCATCAGTGAACCTTTTACTTCTAGATGTAGTTCACTCACTTTTTCAGCTTCTGACATAAAAGCACACCAAGCCCTTTCTACTGTTCCATACTGTGGGCCTAAACACAACAGAAAGTGTCATTCTCAGTAACCATCACCCACATGGAACTTATATTCCCAAGAAACTACCTGAAGCTATTGACTTATATTCACTTGTAAACAGCAATATCGATGCAAACCTAGTAAAGGGAACAGTTTCTTTTCAGACAAATTTAGAATATTACAAATTTTTACACCAGAAGAAATAATATTCATTTAGTCTGGCCTCCTTTTCCCTGTACCATGAATCTCCATATTCCACCTATTAGCTCCTCTTTGAACTGCCTTCAATTCCTCAACATACTTTCTGAAGCATGGATAACCAGGAAAGGACAAACTATTTCAGAATATATTAAAATGGTATCAGATTAGCCTTCCATTAGAGCAATGCCTAGCTCTTTTATTACTAGTCTTTCCCCCACAACCAGTGCCCCCTTATTATTCAGATACACTTTTCAAGCTGTGTTCTATACCACTAGTTACCTAGAAACAGCCAGTTCTAGAACTGAATCTATTTGGATACCTCAAACACTGGAGGCAAGATTGATCTGCTTCAGTAAGAAACAAGCAAACTAGCAAAGCAGCAGGGCTTGCTTTGGTTGGTTTTGATCAAGAAAAGCTTGATCATTTGTTACATTACTGAGCCTTTTGCAAAGACTCCATTATAGGCTAAAAAGCACAAAATATCTACTTTGTACTTACCAAAACAAAAATCTACAGAAACATTTTTTCCCATTTGAGAAAAGCTTTCATAGTTCAAAATCAGAACGTATTACCTTTTTCTACAAGCTGTTTCCACCTTTTTGCCCATTCTGTAAGCTGCTGAGCGTAGACCTTCTCTATTCGTGCCCGTTCATGAATACAATTCATAAGATCGTTGCAAAGTCTGTGACCATCATCAATTCGTTTTACTGTCCGCTTGTAATTTCCAACCTATAAAGAGACAAATACTTAACAAATCATGCTTGAAAGCTCTGAAAACAAGACAAATCTTTAATTAACACAAATACTGTTACCTAGGAGCAAGATTATCTACTAGCCGGAATTAATCAATTATAGCATAAGGTATTTTTCAATTAATCTTAAAACCTAGTTGAAACATAATCACAAAGGCCACAAGTTTTCCTGTAAAAAAGTTACTAATTTTAAAAGTGAAGGCTTCATTATATTATATTAGTCCTGCAATGTAACTATGGGTAGTCATCATAATTGTTCTGCATTATTATTGCTTGGTAACGTTTTAGATAATCAAGATATTTAACATACAGTATTTTCCTCTTCTGTGCTTATTATTAAGTACCTAATGCCTTAATTTTATGCTGTGTTTAATCTTTCAGGATTAATAAAACTGCAAAGACATCCAAATAAGTATTGCAACATCTCTATCAAGCATAATAATAGGTTTTTTCCAAGCATAACAACAGGGTTTTTTTTTTTTTTTTTTTAAGAATGCAGTATGGAAAAAGCAAAACCACTATACATGCAGCAGAGACTAGATGTGCTGTTGTTACTGCCCTGCCTCATTGCTGACAAACTAGATAGCACCTATCTCAAAAGCATGCTGTAGAATTTAATGTGGGAAGATACTGACAGCGACGACATGGAGTTCCCATACCTAGAATTAACTTGCAAATTCTAAAGAAAAAACCATAGTTGCTCAATGTACAAGCTACAAAAGGAGAAAGATATGGAGAAAATGCACACTAGGTAATGAAAATCCATTATATAATTAATACACAACATGGAATCACCAATCTAGATGACTGAAGGGAAAAAAAGCCTAACACTACTCCCAGAGTAATATTTCCACTGATTTCAAGGTCACTCAGGTTGGCTTTGTAAACATGAAACAAGACATAGGAACTCAGTTAACAGAATTTGCACAGTCTATTAAATATCACTGTCAGTTTCTTATCTGCCCTAACCACCTGACTGAAAAATAAAGATTAGAGGTAAGGCAGTAGATTAAACATTCTAATACTCAAAAAGCATGTAAAAATTACAAACATTTGAATCTTATCCAATTCACATCTTGAATACAGGAAACCATCCAACTTCTAGGTTTGCATTTACTCAGAATTTTGTCAGCAGATGTACATGCAAGTCATCTGCTTGAGGAAAAACTCCTCTAAGTATATAGGAGAATACCCTTAATAGGGGAAAAATCCTGTACTGAGTGCTGGAAAAATAGGTGACTATGCTGATAAATGCATTAGGACTCCTTATCAAAGCAGGGAGGGGTGGGTGGGGAATCAAAGCCATCAATGACAGGACAAAACCAATTCCTTTAGATAGTAGCCTCAAAGCATTCATTTGGGCAGATTTTTGGGTTTGGACTAGATCCATTTCAACAGATCAAAGAAATTTAGGTAGCATCTAAGAGAAGTATTAGTTAGCAGTCACTGATTTGTCTAAATCATTTTAAAAAGAAGTACCCCGCCTTTAAATATAAGTCACAATATAATTGAAGCATCCCAAAGAAGCTGACACCAAAAATCAAGACAGTCAATGCATCCATATGAAAACAGTTTTCATCTATTAACAAAGAAGTATGAAAAATAACCTCTCATTTTCAGAAGAAATAGAAATTGAGAAGTTGGCAGTTTCACACTGACACTGTACACCAACAAATACAATATACATATGAAATGAAAGCATTAAGAAAATTAAGTACCTGAAAGAATACTTTCTAAAGCCTTTGTAATAGAAGGGCAAATCATTCATCTGCTCAAAATTACTCCCACTGTCGGTTCACAGCCAAGCAGACTGTTATAACAGGTTATGCTAGCTTGGCACAACTACTGAAGCCTTATATTAGCATCAATTTGTGTCTCCAGTTATGCGCCCAGGGATTTATGTCTCTAGCACAAACATTTCCTTTCATAAATTTTCACTATTAAATTAGCATTTTAAATGCTAATATTGAATGGGAGCTGGCTGCCTCGTGGTATTTTTAACACTTTCCTTTTGTGATGTCTGAGCAAATTCTAACCTCATGCTAATATCTAGCAGTTACCAAATTTCAGGCGGGTATTCAGAGAACTGAATTTAGCTTACCTATTATGGTCCACTCACTATTATCACATAAGGCCACCTTTAAAGAGCTGCACGCAGACCACAGATAATTCACCCATGCTATCTCCTCCTCCACAGGAGGACTGAAGGAACTAGCATCATCGTTTAGAAGCAGTACAAAGAAAAGCCAGGCCTACAACACTAGAAAAAATAACAACCTTATATTCCAAAGAAAGCCTTTTATACTAATATTTTCAAGCAAAAAAAAAGTTCACTTGATTTATGAAACAGCAGTTTAAAGTACGTTAGACATCACGACCAGATTTCATGCCCTACGAGGAATGCTAGAATTTTGGAAATACAGCATTTTTCTGTGTTTCATGACACACAGGGTAGAAGTCATATACCTGGCATTCAACATTTTAAAAGCCCAGTGGTTTATTAAAAAAAAAAATTGCATTTTAAGTTATGGAATGACAAATTTTTTTGAGAAGTGGAATGTGCAGCCTGCCACTCTAGGAGGCAGACTTGGAGATATAAATGCACAAGGTATTTAGACCACAGAGCCAAGTAAAGTGACTAGTCTTTATACAGCCAAGGAACTACTAGGGTAACTGTAGGTAAGTTAAAACAATTAAATTAAAACCTATAAACACACTAAAGACACCCTGAATTCTGGAGAAGAAAAACATGACTTAATACATTGTTTCAGTCAAGACTACTTTCTCCAATTCCTGAGGTAGACTGCAAACATTCTGCAAGACTTCCCCCTTCACAAGGAATATTTGAGCTAAAACAAAAATGACAAATTCTTTTATTTGTAGCAACTGACCAGGGGAAAAAAAAAATAATAAAAAAAATCCTGTGTTCCTTTGTTTCAGTCAGAGCCATGTTTATGTAATGCCTTGCAATTTTCAGATTTCTTGATTAGCACTGTTCAGTACATGAGCATGTGATTTTGCAAGTTAGAATAACTTTCTGATCATTCTGAGCACTGGGCTATTTCCTGTTAGACAGCAGACAGTTACGACGTGAAGTTATTAGTGTCGTTGTCCTAACAAATGAAACATTTGTTTCAGGAAGGTAAATTGTAGGATTATAAACCTTCTTACAGTTTCAAGAATGAGAGATATTTAAAAGCTATATCCTGCTTCTATTTTAGCATCAACACTTCACCTGAGACATTTTATTACATGATACCAAATTCAGTTGCTGTTTACCCTTGGTTGCCAGAAACACTTCAAAAGGAAATAACCCCAAGAGTTTATTTCTTCAAAATACCATTATAATGGTCACTTTCTTGATGCAATCAGTGAATTCCATGAAAACTGTGATTCAGTTTTGTGCGTCCATCCCATCCATCCCCCCTCCCACTCTTCTAAGTTGAGTTTCCCCTTTTCCATTGCAAAAAAATACTGAGCTTTGCTACTAATAAGCCTCTGTTGATCCTATTTTGCCCCATTTATCTCTTATAGGCATTATAGATACCTTCAGATCTCCATTTTGCTTAGTCAAGAAAACATTCCTTCTCATTTTGACATTTCCTCTCATGCATGAACACAACAATGTCACCTCAAATCCTTTGTCAAATCTAAGATTCAGCCAATCTGTAATAACCAGGAGAAAAAAACCCACACAAGCACACTGATGAGGCATTTAGCACTGTATAGTTAGCAGTCCAGTCATCTCTCCTTTGTGGCCACCAGTGTACTAACCAAGCCAAGCACTGCCACTGATTTGATCTTTAGTGGCAATGTTTAAGGAGCTTGCAACCTCATTATTTTACATTTTCGCAGCACTAAACACAAAAGGAGAGTCTTAAATTATCTCGGCTCCTTTACCTCAACTAATAGACTTATTTTTTTTTTTTTGCATATTTATAGAGCAGGATAAAAGCCTATAGTTAAACACACTTAGCAGGTTTTTCTGCTACACTGAATGAAAAATAAGGGTATTTCAATTCGTTAGCAGCCAAGAAGATGGCAAATGTTCAGCTGTTGCTAAACTCCAGTCAGTTAATTCTAGTATATCATGATAATTGTTATAACCACAAATATTCCAGGAGTTTCATATGCCTGAAGTAAGACTTTGTGTCAATTCTTTTTCCAGCCTTGCCTAGCCTATTCATAACTAGTCAGCCTTTATGAACTGGAACCATTTGAAAGAGTCGGTCACCACAGCATACAACAAGGTTGTTTTGCTTTGGTTTTTTTTACAGGCAAACATCCATAGGTAGGAAACAATAACGAGCTTTGACAGCTTGTAGTCAAACCCACACATACTGATGGCCAATATGGGGACATACTTACTATTTCCAGCATTCCATTCAACCATGAGTACAATTTCTTTCCAGTTACGTCAAACAGGAAGTTTCCAAACATTTCAACCAGTGTTAACATCTATAATACTATTGGGGTTTTGTTTGGGGTTTTTTTTCAAATGAAAAGAATTATCTTGGTGCATAATTAGCACATACACAGTGCAAGTACCTATGAGCCACTAGCTCTGTGTATTTAAATTTTGTAAGTTTACCCATATAAACTCTCTGCTGGTTGCAAGAAAAATCCTGAGGAAGCCTTTAAACCCACAAAATCTAAAGCCAAACATACCAGTAAGCAAACACCTGGCAACATAAACAGAGAACATTATGTTGCTCAATGTTAGAATGAGAAAAAATGCATGCAGAAGATATGACAGGAATCTACTACTGCAGAGTCCAAATATTTTTAAAGTGAAAAAGCAAAACAGAACAGTCTGCTTCATCAGCAAAAAGCATTCACTGACAAGTAACTGGAATTCCTTAACATAGGAACGTCTTTTTAATATTCAAGAATGAGTTTTAGGAGCTTCTTCCTCTTAAATTCCCTGCATCCAACACACAGTCCCTCAACAGATACCTCGTGTAGATGTTGGCTGAC